GTGATTGCCCTGCAAACCGCCTGCTCTAGGAAGTCTAACGCTTCAGCAACTGCCCAGAGTATGCTGCAGAAGAAGTCCTTCCTTCTACCTGCTGCATGCTCGCTCTTTCAAGGGAAACCATTCTAGATCCTTGAGGAAAACTTCATTTCTTGTGACTGCAGAGTCTTCCGCAACTTTCCCTGGCATATTAGCTGAACTGCGGATGCTCTGGAAGTGCCAGTGACGTCCCAAAGTCGTGGTGTGGGGTTGGTTTGTTTTGGCAACAATGCATTCCTTCTCCTCCAAAGGATATTGTCTTTGCACGGGAGCAGGAGGCGCCACTTCCCCTGGTGATCAGATATGCTTCAAGGAAAACTAGAGTGACACCAGCAGGCAAACTCCTCTTCTGGCAAGTGGTCACCACTGTGTTCAAACTTAGGGTTACTTGTCCCCTTCATGTCATTAGTGCTGATGCTGCTTGGAATGCCCTAGCTCCTCCTGCCCCTCAGTCACACTCAAGCCAAAGTGTTGCTGTCGTGCCCTGAAGCGAACAGGATCCATGCGTGCTGCCTGGAGCGTCCCACAGTCAAAAACAAGTGACTGCGGCACAGCAGCGAAGCAAAAGCCCCACAACGTCTGTCTGCCTGGCCATGCCGGCCAATGGCGCTCACCACCCCATGCTGGATGCTTCCACTCAAGTGTAGTGACGCTTCCGAAAGTTTTGGAAACCTAAAGTGGGAGGACCCCAGGCGTGGGGAGAGCAGGGAAGAGACTCCACCTCCAGCAGATGGCTTGCTGTGTCCGAAGGCAGGAGAGATGGTGTGGAAGGGGCAGGCCTTCCAGGAAGGGATGCTGTGTAACGTCCCCTCTTGAGTGGGAGACTGAGGGGACCGGTCTGATCTTCCAGCTAAACTTGATGTCAACTTGGATTCTTGCAGGATTTCTTGCAAGTCATCCTGGCCAATCTGTGCGGAGTACCTGAGCGGTGATTGCCACGTTCCAATGCCCTGGTAGTGGAGAGAGCACCATCTCTTCTCTGGCCTTGATAGACTACATGGGAAGCTTCCCAAGCTTTGATTGGGCTACCACGAATGGGCTGCTTCTGGATATTAACCCTCCCTTTCCTTTTGTCTCCTTGCTAGATCTGCACACCTGGTGTCCAGGTACCGCCCGCGAGCTCCCATCATTGCTGTGACGCGTAATGGACAGACTGCACGGCAGGCCCATCTGTACCGTGGCATCTTCCCCGTGCTGTGCAAAGAGCCCACCCAGGATGCGTGGGCAGAGGACGTGGACCTGAGAGTGAACCTGGGCATGAATGTTGGTGAGTTACTGACCAGAGTCCAGAGGAAGCAGGGTAACGGATGCTTGGGGAAGAACAGCTCCTTGAGACCCCTCTAATCTGGGGCGTCCTTTGCTTTCTGGCCGAGCCTTAAAGCTGTTAGTGGGAAGAAGTACTGCTTGTGCCAACAAATGGGTCTCCTACAGCCACTGCTCTGTCGAGCACCAGGCCTGGCTGCTGATGGCTTGGGAAAACCTGCTCCCCCTTCTCAGTGGGCCTCGACTTTGAGTGGCGTCAATGGAAAGTCGTACAGACGAAATCTTACCCCTCTGGGCTGAGTGGCCACCTTAGTTGCTAATGGCCGCTGTTAAAGCAAACCGAGGCCTGAGGGAAGGGCTGCTCCGCCTGCTGATGCAGTGTCGGACAGAAGTGAGGGGTCCTGTCTCCTCCCTGGTGGAGCAGACTCTGTGCTGGAGTGCTCTTACTGCTAGGCCAGCGCAGGGAAACTGGCGAGCCCCTCAGCCGGGTGTAGTCATGCCAGCTTGTGGCCCCGGGGACATCCACAGGCACTAGGCAGCTCCCTGGGATTAGAATGTAAGCACTAGCCACTTGGGCTGATGAAGTCAGAGCTGTTAAATCCACGTGGGGGCTCCGGCAGCCCCTTCGGTTTGCCTTGGGACTGCCCAGAAAGAAAGGCAAGTCCTTGTCTCTGGAGGTCTGTTGTAGAGGACACCCTAAAAGCAGCAACACTGGGCTTCCTGATGTCATGGATCTAACTGAACAGTTGGCATCAGCTTGGCCTGCAGAGACTCACTGATCTTTCTCTTCTAGGCAAGGCACGAGGCTTCTTCAAGACTGGCGATCTTGTCATTGTACTTACAGGATGGCGCCCTGGGTCTGGCTACACCAACACCATGCGTGTGGTGCCAGTTCCATGAACACCAGCTCTCTCTTCCCCAAAACACCTTCCCTCTCCCCAGCAACACCGCCCCTCTTCCCCTCTGCTCTACCCCCGGCATTAGGCTGGCAATTGCTTGCAATGTTATCCGTGTGTAGCGTGGATAGAGGTTGCTAAACACCACCAAATGCAGCAGCGGGGGAAGGAGACCCTTGATGTCACTCTACGAGAATACTTGAAATGCTGTTGAAAGGCAAAACTGCCTTGCTCTCTAACGGTGATTCTGCCCTGAAGTAGTAGGGAGTTGATGTAGGAGACTCCTGCATGACAACTGAACTTGTGCTGCTCAACCCCCTCCTTGTAGTCTGGATACTGTCTTAGGGTGAACGTGTGCCTTTCCCTGCCCTTTCTCAGGCATGTAGAGGAAGGAGGCAATAACATGGGGATGGTCTGAGCTTGAGTGTGAACACTCTGCAGCAGGCAGAATACAGCTGTGCCCTGTAGGGTCAGATAATCCAAAGCTTAATTTAGTGCCTCCCTTCTCTGCCATGTCCTCCAATGACTCCCACGCCACAAACTTGTCCTTGTCACCAGTGCACTCCAGTTTAGGGGCGGTGGTAGATGGAATCATGGGTCAGTACGTACATTAGTCTGGTCTCCCCGCTGGATGGACGGGCTCTCTGCACTCCATAATTTAAACTCCACTACAGATACTTTCAGTATCTTAACATGCGAGTGGGTGTTGATAAGCTAAGACGTGCTTAACCCTTTAAGTTCTAAAATAGCAACTTGCATGTGACCGACTGTCCCTCTCCCCATGCAGATGGCGAGAAAGCCGTGATGCGAACCTCCAGGCCAAAGTGTAAGATGCAGGCCAGGTCTGGGTTCCCTTCGTTTGTCACATGAGGGCAGCAGGAAGAAATAGAACCGGGATAAAACCAAAGCTTAGCTCTTAAAGGGTTGAGTGCTGCTTTTCCGCTTCCTGTGCTGAGAGCTGCTTGTGCGCCTGCTGCAGTGTAGCGTATCTGTCTGAGTCGAGTAGTCCTGTTTCCTGAGAGCCGTTTCCTTCCTGTGTTGTAAATCTGGACACGTTAGTTACTGTAACAGGTGACTTGGGTTGTAGAGCACAACTGTGTACATCAATAAAAAAAGCTGAAGCACCTACCAGCCTTCTCTTGTGCTTGGTTTTTCCAGAGGCAGGGTGGAGTCCTTCTCATGTGGATGTCCAGACTGGCCAGCTGGCGAGTATTTGCTTGCAAACAGTATCTGAAAAGGGAAGGTCTCAATCAGCCTCTTCCGAGGGGAAAACTTGTTTCCATGGTAGTTGGACGAGATTTTATCCTTGGCTGTGGGGAATCCTCAGTACTGTACTTGTTGCTTTGCAGATAGATCTGGGGTGGGCAGCCCTTCTTGATGGGGTGGGGGGAGGCGGAAGAACCACTGGGGTAGGGTCGGGGAGGGAGTCTGGTTGCAGGAGGGGGTTGTGGCCCAAGATTGGGGTGCAAGCGGCAGGCTCTGGCTGGGATTTGCTTACTGTAGAGATCCTTGGGCAGGCTGCTGGGCCCAGTGTGATTCTCTGTGGCAGGCCCCTCGGAGGGAGGGGGGGCAGCAGATGCCTGCATGCGCCCACAAACATCACCCAGTTTCTGGACAATGGGGGCAAAGCTGGGGGAGGGGAGGCCTCCCAAAGGACACTTCACATGCGCACGCAGCCACCTGCTGCAGCAGGACCACGAGCTATAGGGTAGAGCCTGCAGGTAGACCAAACTCATGGGCACTTCAGACCTAGCTGTCTCCTGTGCGGTCACATCCTTTGTAACGCTACATCTCTTACCAGCTACGTCCCTTCTCGCGACATACGCGGTTGCCCTCTTCCTTTCTAAAAGTTTATAGTGAGTCCAGTCCCATCTTGAAATGGGCACGGGTCTTGCTCTGTGGCCTGGAGCTGTTCTAACAAGGGCTGCCAAATGGTTAAAATAGTCCATAGCAATTGGCACTTGGTTGTGTTGCTCAGAAGCACCATTCAAGCCAAAAACCAAACCTGCTGCTGCTTCTGTTGCATTCGTTCCCCTCTTGAGGGCAGAGGGGACTAGGGAAAACGACTTGCCAGATCTCAGGCGGCCTGTCAGGGAAAGCATGGCGAAATTGCCTATGCTTGTAGCTTATTCCTGGACCTGACCAATGGGGGAGCTGCCTCACTTAAATTTCCCCTCCTCCACCCCAGCTGCCAGCACTGAACACGGGTCTGTTTTGGAGCGGTCACTTGACACAAGCAGTAGGTATGAGCAGTGCACTTGATTGTGGGTAGATGCTTTTGCAGCGAAACAAGGCAAGAGGAGTAATCCGTGCTCAGGGCCTTAGGGACCTTGCTTACAACTTGGGGAAGGATGGAATCTATAGCTGGCCAACAGGAGAGGGCTACCCCTTCCTGCAAGGGCCAGAGCCAGCTTCCCCCTTGGCCTGTCCTTGAGGGCCTGCCCTTGAACTTGGAAATGCTTGCCCCTTAATGGTTTCCAAGTGGGGAGAGGCGAGGGTGAGCCAGCTGCCTTTGGCTTGCAAAGTTCCAGCAGAAGATAATGCAATGCATGTGCAAAATGCTTCCCAGCTGCCTGAGCCCTTTGGGTAGCAGTAGGTTTTTGGGACAAGACTGTAGCCGCTGCTCCTCTCCC